GGGCCTGCAGGCATTCAGTTGCTTTCAGCCACACAGTCGAAAATTGCTATAATTTCTATTTCGCTTATATTTTCCATATTCTCAGTCTTTTGCTAGGCACTCGTATTTATAAGGTTTCCCTAATTCATCCTTCCCAACACTGCTCCATGCAGGACAATGTCACTCTGCAGGACCCTGACAGCTGCCAGAATGATGAACCTCCCAAATGCTTATTAATGCTTTTCCCAATATCCTGGGAATGCTGAGGCAGGCACTACCAGCACAAGGCTGAGGAGAGAAGAGGAACAACAAGCAAGGGAAGAGCAAAACAAGCTGGATGTGAGAGCAAATGCATTTATAATAAAAGCAATAACGCAGCTTGTCATTTTTCTCTCTAATAAAATTGTGTAGGATAGTGGAAGAGATGGGGAAAAACATAATAAATAGCAGGTCTATCAGCACTAAATTAAATCACAGATTTTCCTGGCTGGTGATGTACCAGGAGATGATGGCATTTGTCTTGATGCTCAAAGAGCCAGGGCCAGGGCTCCTTTACAAATTCCCAAGGCTCACACTCCCCTCCATGCTGTGCCCACCCCTGGCACACATCAATACACAGCAGGCACATGCAGGGTTTGGTCTTTCCCCAACTCTCTCTCTTTTAATGAGGTTTCATCCTAAATACGTGAGGCTCACAATGCCCCGTGCTGTGGCAGCAGGGGACACAGCAAGGCACCAGCCAGGCAAAAATCAAACATAAAATCAAAGGGTCTGCCTCCTAGGATTGGTCAGTAGCATTAGTCTCTGCTTGCTAATTAATGAACTGAAGAAGAGGAGCAGGCAGTGGCTTTGCTTACCTGTATTTCTTAAAGGAGAGCCCCATGTGCTGCTTCATCTGCTGGAGGCCGTGGTAGTCGGTGTAAATCAGGTCAAAAGGCAGGGGACTGGTCAGGGGGCAGTTCCCCCGTCCTGGAGGCACCCCTAAGTGACTGGGGAGAACAGGAGGGATCAGCCCCCAGCACCAGCACTCCTTTCCCTGCTGGGCACTGAGCAGGAGCCATCAAACAGCTCCTCTTTGATGGAGGGGGAGGCAGATGGTTCTCCTCACCCCAGTTTTCATTTCCCAGGCCAAAGATCTGGAGAATCCTGGTCCCTCCCCATCTTTGCACCTGCTCCAGATGAGTTTCTGCTCCTCACACATGGGCTGTGAGACACAGCATTCCCAGCCAGGGATCACCAGCATCCCAGTCACCACACACCCTCCCTGGGACCTCTCTCGTTGAAGACACCAGATTTCGTTTACTTTCATTGCAGTCACACCAGTGACAGACTTGTCAAGCCACATTTTTCCTCTCCTCTCTGTCTGCAAGGCTCCCAGCTGAGCCTAAAGCTCCCTGTTCCCAGCTCCACATCCCTCCCAGCACACCCTGGAATGTTTCTCTTATTCCAGTCCTTACCCCCCACATCCCAGAGCACTCTCAGCTTCTCCTTGACTCTGCTAGCAATGCCTGTCCTTGGATGTTGTGCACATTTCATTTGTATTTCTCACTTTTGGTCCCATTTAGGAAATAATTCCATAAAACAGGGGCAGTTGGGCCCTGGGTCTCACTCAGGGGGTTTCCAGCCAGTTCCTTACAAACAGCCACACTCAGCCCCTCTTCCCTCCTCCAGTGGATAAAATGCATTATGAAAATCCAGATAAACTCGACTGACTGCAATCTCTTTATCAACACCATCAGCTACCTGGCTGCCAGGGTGAAATGTGATTAATCCAGCAAGATACAGGGCTGCTAAACCTGTGCTGTTCCATTTCCAATTACCTCTGTGAACTGATGAATCCCTCTCTCCAAAGCTGTTCCACCAAGTGTACCACTGATGTCAGCCTGACAGCCCATCTGCTTGTCTGGACCATGTTTCCTCCTTCTCAGAAAAAAAACAACCCTGTGACACCTTCCAGCTTCAGCAGGTTTCTCAAAAATCCATGTAGCTTGTACTTGTGATTTCCCAGTGCCAGTTTGCTCAGAGGCTGATTCACTCTGCAGTTTTAATGCTCTTGTATTTTTGTTTTTCCTCCTAAAGATGATAATTCCTCATCCTCCTAACTCCACTCACACCCAAAAAGCAGCAGCATCCTCATGGAAAACCAAACTACTGAGCTGATTTGGTCCACCCAGGCTGTCTCACTCCCACCACGCAGTTGTCCTGTTTCATTCTCAGTCCTTCCAACAAGGCTGAGGAATTCCTGTTTTATTTCACAAGGCTGAGCTCAGACACTGTGAAATCTCACCCTTAGCTCCTGCCTGCCAGGACATCTGTCTTTGTTTTCTTCTGGGCTCTTCACTTACTCTGAACCCCTATTTGGAGATGGGAATTTATCCCAGCCGTGCCTGTAGGTATTTTCTCTTCTTTAGGGAATAGAAGTTCTGGTCAGGTTTTACACTCCTAGACTTTGAATCTTTCCTTCTCTGTGACCTCTCTTACTGGTTCTCTTAATTTCTCTGCATTTTCCCTTCTGAACCTGAGAATTCCCTTTCCAGCCCTACCTGGGGTTTATCTGCTCCTCAGCTGAAGCTCAAATGGACCCCAACCCCAAGATCCATCCTCTGAGGAGCACTTCCATAAGGTCCTCACCTTGCTGAGCCCTTCAGCATTTCACCTATCAATCCCATGGCTGTTTCCAGAGGAAACCAATGGCTTTCTCATCCAGGAAAGGCCAAGGGACACAATTATCACAAGTATTTTTTCTCCAGTCTCTCATTCATATCAGAAGGGACCACACAGAGCCAGAAATTTGTTGGCCACAAGAAATAGGATAAAGGGCTCTTGGTTGGCTCCTGGCCACACCTCCCTCTTCTTCTGAACCTGATGTGGTGGAAGATGCCCCAGTCACTGCAGGGGTTTGGGCCAGAAGAACTTTAAAAGGTTCCTCTGAACTCAGACTTTTCTATGATTCTGATGTGGTTCCAAATCCTTGAGCACTGAGCACCAAGATCCTTCTTCCAGCTCCATCCCAACCTGACACCCCTGAAGGGTCACCCCAAACTTCTGACCATGACAGAAACTCCAGAAAATGAGTAAATGTGGAACAACCTCGGTGGCTAAAGCCAGGAAAAAACCAGAGAATTTCAGTTTAAGACAAAGAGCTGCTTTTGCAGCTGCTTCATTGCTCTTGTCACAAGGAATCTCAGCATCAGCTCAGGGCAGCCTGGCTGGGGACGCCGCAGGGGGAACAGGTTGCAGTTTTGTCACTTTTATGCACAATTTTACACGACAGGACTGATTGGGGAGCTGGCAGGAATAGAAAGGCTCTCACCTCCCACAGCCACCTCGGTACAATAAATAGGGCACCAAGGAGACTCAACCTCCCGGGAAGGCTGGAGGGGAATTTTTAAGCCAGGATTTTGTAGAGATGGAATTCTAAACAACACATTTGCTCACACAGCACTGCTTTTTCCTCAGCCATCAAACAAACAGTGATTTACACCAACCTGCACTGTGGTGGAACCAATCCATAAACCTTGTATTTAACTAAAAATCCCCAAACCATTACACTGTGCTTGCAGCACACGCCATCCTCTAGCTGGTATGTGTCACACAAGCCACTGCACAACAAAATAATCTGTAATTTAAGGAAGCCCTAACCAAGCTTGACGAGGGGCTGCAGGAGGCAGCAATTAGTGTAACTCATCCTGAAGCCTTCAAAAAAGTTTCCACCAGTTGGGGAGAGCAGGTCTGGCTCTCCCAGCTCCCATCAGCACTGCAATCTGCCACACATCCCCTCTCCAGGTGCTCAGGACTTGCCACATCCATTTATGCTCCCTGTGCCATGGCTGCGTGGCTGGAATAGCTCTGAGAGCAGGAGCAGAACAGCTCTTCATTTACCCCCCCTTATCCTCCCTGAACACTTTATAACCACTGATTTTAATATTCCACTCATGCAAATCCAGCCTGCACCTCTGAGATGGGGGCGGGGGGGGAGAATTTTTTTTTTTTTTATTCCTCCTTATTTAAACATTCGTTATTCAGGCTTTCATCATTTGCCAGTTAAGTCAACTAATTTTCTACTAAACCCAATTTCACTCATGGTTGGAGTGCAATTTCCCTGATTTTTCCTCGTGCCATGTACTATTAATGGCGCTTGAAATTACGCAAATAAAATTGATGAGCGCAAACGCCGCCTTCGCCGCCGGCACAGCCCAGGGGTCTGCTGTGGAAACCACAACCCCAGCCCCTGGGGAAACCTCCCCTCCCTCCCTCCCAGATCAGCTGTGGGTGATGATCCAGGGGCTCATCCCACCCCAAATCCCGGACCAGGGCTGAGCCCCGGCTCCTCTCTGGGAGGGAGCAGCCGCAGCGGCTCCGATCCAAGTGGATGCCGAGCTCGCCTCTCCGCCAGCTGCCTCCACCAGCTGTGCCTACTCCAGAATAAATCTCCAGCAGCTTCTTGTCCTGCTATTTTCCTCTCAGAGGTACTTTAATCAGCCAGGGGACCGTCCCCTCCCCTCCAGTGCAGGCACTCTGGAGTCAGATGACTGCAGGGTTATCTTTACATGCCATTGACCTATTTTCAAATTAACCCAACGTTTCTTTCCGTGTTATCACTCCTGGTGCTGAGAAGTCCAGCACTAAATGGATCTCGTGGGCATCTCTTGGCAGCCTGGACCAATAGTCTGTATTATATTTAATTGCATCTTCTCTGCCCACATCTGCTGCCATCAGCAATGCTGAGAACAGAGCAGGGATCGTGTCCTCGCTGCTCCCTCTCCTCCTCCATGGCTGCAAGAGCCCAGCAGGCACTGGGCTGTTATCCAGGGCTGAAAGGTGCCAGAGCCAGGCCAGGTCTGTGACAACCCCATCACAAGCAACAAGTGCAAATCTAAGCTCACAAGATGAACATCCTGCTGCCTGCCCTCTGCCCTCAGCTCTCCCCCCTGCTGGAATGAGCACTCACTAGAAATGAGGATTTCCAAGCAATTTCAGCACCTGCAATGGTTTCACCTGGACTGTTTCTCTGGCCCATCATTGATCTTGTATGATACAGCCCTACCCATCTAGAGGGGAAGTTCAATAATCCATTTATTAATTTCCAAGACCTGGAGATGCACAGGAGGGTGCCAGAACAAACACTTCCTTCTGGTCACAGATTCAGCAAATATGAAGGAACTTCCCAGGAAAGGAGAAATCAATACTTGGATTCCTGCAGGGAGCAGCAGTAACGGAGCACTCACTCCTGGAGAGACCCTGGGACAGATGGGCTGTTCTCCTGCTGTCCCACTGCCCCATCAGCTCCAAAGAAAGGAAGAATTTCTCCTCTGTGAGGGTGGTGAGGCCCTGGCAGAGGCTGCCCAGAGAAGCTGTGGCTGCCCCATCCCTGGGAGTGTCCAAGGCCAGGCTGGACTCGAGTACCAGGAGCACGTGGTGACCATTTGAGGCTGAAGGTTCCTCCCCAGTGGTGCAGAGCTGATCAATGCACAGCCTTTGCATGCAGCTCCATCAGGATCACACAGACACAGCCACTTCTGGCTGCTTCCACAAGCAGTTCCTTTCTCTCCCACACAACAGCAGGACTGGTTTTGCCAGCTGGCGAGGGGAGTGAAGCCAGAGCCTGGGCAGGGTGCAGGTTTTCATGTGAACAGATGCAAGACCGAAAGATGGCTTTTATCTGCCAGGAGACAATTAGAAATGTGCTTTCTGGACATGGTGTTTCCATCCGAGCAGCCCTTTTTGCAGCCTGAGCACACCTCGGTGAGCATGGAAAGCGCAGGAAAATCGCTCTGAGAGGAGAGTGGGGGCAGTGGGAGCAGAGCCTCGTCCCACCCCAGCTCCAGGGCTCCATCCCCAGCACTGGGGGGTGGCTCAGCACCCGAACCACTCGCTGGCCACAGCAGGGAAAGGGCTGCCAGCACCTGATACAGGCACGTGCTTCAAATCCCTGGCTTTGCCAGAACTAGAATTAAGAGTCCAGAAGTTGACACAGGAGCAATTAAGCTCTGGGAACACTTTGTAAAGCCCTGACCCCGAGAGGCATCAAATCCCATTTTCTTCGACTTTCTGTCCTGCTTTACGAGCAGTTAATTTCGAGGGGACCATTGAGAAAAGCACCTTTCAGTGCTTTTCTGAGCTCCCCAGCAGCTCACAGCTCTGCAGCCCCTTCTCCCCCAGCCTCTCCCTTAGCCCCAGAACAGCAGCTGGACATGCCAAGGTGACCCCTCCCATGGCTCAAGGGTGAGATTCCAGGAGTGCCCCTTGTGCTGCTTCTCCCCAGGAAAAAGGCTGAGAGGATCCTTCCTGATCCTGCCTGACCCCAGGGCATGGGTGCCCCAGAGGAAAAGCCTCAACTTATTCAAGATTATTTTTGTGGGCACAGCCACTGCTCCAAAGTGGTGCTTGTAATTTTCCAGCATCTACTCATGAGCTGCCTCATTAACAACCCAGCTCAGAGCTTTCAGGCACTTCCCACTCCTCCCCTAGCAAGAAACAACACCAACACTGGCCTGGATTCTCACCTCCCTGAAAGCACTTTTGGGCTACCAACACAGCACCAGGGGTCTTCAGCAATAATCAAGTGTTGGCGTTCAGATTTCGGATGTTTCTTCCCTCCCTGCTTCAAGACAAGGCTCAAAATGTTGCTGGCTGCCCACCCAGCACAAATCTCAGTGAGAAAACAGCTCCTGGCTCCCTGCTCCAGCTCGGTAATTCATTTTCCTCCCGGGAAGATGCACATAGAAACACGGAATGGTTTGGGTTGGGAGGGAACAGATAACCCCATGTTTCACCCTTTGTATCTCCAGAGGGACCAGAAGCAGCTCAAAAATTCACTGGGAGTTCAAAGGAGAACAAACACCTGCACTTAGCTCAACTACAGGAGAAAAAATAACCCCTGGTAGGACTCGGCAGTGGAATTCACACATCTTTAGAGCCTGCAGAGGGTAAAAGATAACCCAAATAAACGGGCCCCAGAAAACCAGGGCTGAGCTCCATGGCTGTGATCTCAGACCTCTCAGGGACATTTGGACAGTGCCCACCTGAGCAGATCCCCTGAGCTCCTTATCTTTGTTCCAGATTAGCACTGGTCCCTAAACCAGAGGAAGAAGCATTTGACACTCCTGCCCTTCACTGCTGGGCAGGCAGAGGTGCCCAGCACACATGGTCACACTCCCAAAATGTTTTCACCCCCAGCCCCCCATCATCAGCTTTTTTGACCAGGGCCTTACTCCTCCATTTTCCTGATCCTCAGCATTCCTGACCCAATCCAGACCAAATTTCAGCACTGCTGCATTGCAATCAATACAGATGCTAATCATGAACAGCTCTCAGATAACCACTGGCTGAAGTGTATGAAGGCAAATCTTCCAGTGATCCTTTGCCAATGATCAATACACGCTGAAAAATCAGCTCAGAAATTTGAAGAGACAAAAAAAAAAAAAAGAAAAACCAAATCAGGAGAGAGGTTAATCTCTGCTGAATAATTTATAGGCTCCAGTGGAGGCTTTGCTGGGTAGGAGCAGCTACAGCTCCCAGCCATGAAAAGAGCTGGGGTTGCCAAAGAAAAATACACAAAGATGGATTCAACGTTTCACACTGCTGGAGCAAAATATCCCCAAACCCACCCCAACACTGCTGCCTGTCCTGCTGCAAGGTCAGCAGGAGACACCCAGAATGGGAGAGGACAAATTCAGGGCCAGTTTACAGAGGCACAAATCTTTGCTGCTTTGGGAGGGTGCAGGGGACAGGAGGGATAAGGAATCAGAGTGCCTGGGCTGCCCCTTCCCCAGGGACAGGGATTTAGCTTTGCTGCATCCCTGCAGCCCAGCTCCAGCCCTTTGTGCATCCCTGGCTCTCTGCACACCCTGCCCAAAGCTGTGGCTATAGGTAAAACCCCCTCCAGGCTTTAAAGAAGGGCCCAAATTAACTCTTAGCACACCTCGGGACTAATTACACGTGTTCTGCTAAGCCTCCCACTCGCTCCTGGTCAGGCAAAAGCTTTTCCCAGCACTCCTTAGAGGCACCAGAGCAGGGATGTGAGAGAGATCTGCAGGCACGGACCACGACTGCTGGCACCACTGAGCCCTCCCCTGGCACAGAACCTCTGTCCCCTGGTGTCACCACATTAACCCATCTCTCGATGGGCTGCACGAAGGTGCCAGTGCTGACCCTCCAAGCGCTGGGCTTGGTCTCCAAAGGGACAGAGGGGACGTGGTGACACCCCCGGTCCTGCCTCCACCCACCCCAGCCCATCAGATCGGCACTGAGCACATCAAATATCACCAAAGCCCGGCGCAGCAGTGCTCGGGGAGGTGGGGACACACAGAAGGGCAGGATGTGCAGCCCCAGCCCGGCTCGCTCCCTTCCCATGTCAGCTGCCACGGAGAGGAGACGGAGCTGCCTTCCCAGGCATCCCAAGGGACACATCCAGATCCAAATCAGAAGCGGAGCTTTCATCACTGCCAGGTGATGTGGAAGCTCCCAGGCTTCTGCAAAGGCAAAATACTACAGGGATACAGCAAAATACTACAGGGATACAGCAAAATTCTCTCCAGAGTCACTGGCAGAGGGAAATGGGTGCTGCAGAACCACCCCGTGAGAGGTGACAGCTCCTTCCCCTCCCTGAACAACCACCTGGAGGTTCGGCATTAGAAAACACAAACAAGAGCCACACAACAACAACACAACCCTCCCAGCCATTAACTCCTTTCATCCTTGAGTACCCGGGTATTATTTAGCACATCGTTCCCACCTCTTTGAGGAGATGCTGCCTCTTGCATTGAAACCGGGATTTTTGATTTTTTTTTTTTTTTTTTTAGTTAATTAGTTAGGAGCTAATTCCATTCATTAATTCTGAACGCTGCAGGGGCTGGGTTGGAGATTTTTTGTTGTTTTTTCTCCAGGGTTGTTTGTTTTATTCACTCCCTTTCCAGTATGGCTCATTATGTGGCCGATGCTGGCTTAGCATCTCCCAAAGCCTGCCCAGACCCCGAGGCAGCTTCAGGCTCTTCTTGATTTATAACCCATCTAATTTGCAATTTCCCTAGTACTTGCCCTCCACTTGGGATGGCTCAGAGGAGGGGAGCAAACCTTAGGAGGTGACAGAAGGCAGCAGTGCCAGCCCAGTAATGGCATCAGCAGAGAGGAACAGGGCTCACTGTTGGCTTCTCCCTCTTTTCCCATCTAATACATCTAATCTCCATCTTGGAGACTCTCACCCAGGGCAGAAAGAGTCAATCCCTCTGTGGGAAGTGCCTCCATCAGCAGCAAACCCCTCCACAGGTCCCCAAGTCACCCCCAGCACCTCCTGAGGAGGGACAATTTGGGGGTGACCAAGGGCAAAGGATGCAGCTTCCACCTGGCAGCCACCCCAGCTGTGTGCCGTGTGGTGGGGAGGGAGGGAGGAAGGAAGTAAACACAATCACTGCTCAGACAGCGGCAGCAAAGCCCCGGGGGTTGAGTGCAGCCATGCATGGTGGGAAGAGCCAGTGACCTGCAGGACACCGGCATCCTGCAGCCACAGGGCCACCAGCCCAGCAGGGAGCATCCCTGACGAACGGGGTGGGAAAGGGAGCTCTCCCTGGCCAGCCCCAGGCAGGTGTCAGGGGACACAGGTGATGCTGTGTGCTGGCAGCAGGGACCATTCTGCTCACATCCAGCACTGAAGCCCTGCTCCAGATATGTCCACATCAGCTCCACACAAAGCATCCCTTTACACCAGTCCTCCCCACTTTCCTGGGATGTAGAAGGATGGGATCTCTCCCAGCCACGATGCAGGACAGCCCCAGCCCTGTCTGAGATTCAGGTGGACAAAGAGCCTCCCCAGCCTTTTCAGACCTGGTGCTTCCACCCAGACCTCGATGTAACCCAGCACCCACCTCTGCAGCTCCTTCAGGGACACGGTGACCCTCAGGCTGTGTCCCAGCATGAAGAGGGCAGCCAGGATGTCAGCCCACTGCACCATCTCACCCAGAGGGCCTCCCTTCAGCACCCGTGGGCTGAAAACATCCCCTGACTCCTCTGTCAGGAAGCCAATGTGGATCAAGATCTGCAGAGACAAGGAGAGGAGTTAGCACTGGGGCACTGGGGAAAGGGACAATTTGGGTTTTCCAGCCCAGAATGACTTATGGTCCCTGATTCCCCCAGCTCCTTTGCAGGCTGTAAAGACTCAGGGAGCTCAGTCAGGTGTGGAGACAAATGACCTATGTCCAGTTAGCACAGACCCAATGCTCAGAGCTTGGCAGCTCCCTGTGGCTGCCACTCTGTGTCCCGGGGCCTGGCTCGTGTTCTCTGTGTCCATCACAGTGTGAACCACGGGCTGGATTTCCCAGCACACAGGGGCCAAAGGAAAAGACACGACAAAAACACCAACAGGAACCTCAGCTTGTCCTCAGAGGAGACCAGTCAGGCTCCAGTGGCAGCTGGACACCATCCCCACCCACCAGGACCCATGTCCAAAATCCACCCCATTGCTCAGCAACACCAGTCGTGCCACATCCCAAATACCTGTGGAACCACATCCATGGACAAGAGACCAGCCCTATGAATTTTCCTCCCAGCTGGCTCCCAGCCCAGCTGTCCCAGGCTCAGTTTCCCTCTGTTCCCCAAGAACCCCCGTACGTGTTTCTGGTCCCGCTGCCGTCCCGCCAGCTTCTGCTCGAGGCGCCGCGCCGCCCGCAGCCACTGCTGGGCCAGGTGCCTGATCCTCTTCTTCATGAAGCTCAGGGACTCCTTCCCTGTGCCAATGAGCTCCAGCAGGCGAGCCAGGTCCCTCCTGAAGGCTGCCTAGGGAAGGAGCACGCTCTGCATGGTGAGTGTAGGGAAAGCAGCTGCCAGAGGAGCCCCCGGGCTGCCCCGCAGCATGGGGGAGGTTTGTCCATCTCAGCAGAGCTGATCTGAGCCCTTCCTGCTCCCCTGGAGCCGTCACAGCTCCTCCACTTCGTGGCCCAAATCCCAGAGGGATCCCACTGCACCCAGTTCTCATGAGAACCCAGATTCCTCAGCAGAGGAAAGGCACAGACCTTGCTGTGGGTGCAGGGGAGGCACACAATTGATCAGAGGGATAAAACATTTGTGCTGAGGAGAGACTGAGGGAGCTGGGGATGTTCAGCCTGGACAAGAGAAGGCTCCAGAGAGATCTTCTTGCAACCTTTCAATACTTACAGGGGCTTATAAGAAGACAGGGACAGACTTTTTAGCAAGGCTTGTTGCAACAGGACAAGGAGTGACGGCTTTGAACTAAGAGAGTTGACTCAGACTAGATGTAAAGAGGAAGCTTTTCATGGTGAGGGTGATAAAACACTGGCACAGGTTCCAAAGAGAGCTGGTGGATGCTCCATCCCTTCAAACATTCAAGGCCAGGTCGGGCAGGGCTAGGAACAACCTGTTCTACTGCAAGGTGTCCCTGCCCATAAAGATCCCTCCCAGCCCCAACCACCCTGCGATTCTATGAAAACCCACGAGAGGGATCACAGCCCTGCTGACACTGAACGTTTATTTCCAGCAGCCTCGATGCCGATGCCTCCCCCCAAAAACCCAGGCTGGGCCCACCTTACCTGTGCCCGTGGCTTTGGTGGCAGTGAGGGCACAGCCACTGTCCTGTTTCGCCAGGGCAGGGGGGGACAGAACCACTCGACCTCGCTGAGGTAGATGAGGAAGGAGCACTCGGTGCCATCCACGCCAAAAAACGCATAGCAGGGGTCAGAGGTCCAGCGGGCCCTCATCCACTGCAAGGAGCAAGGAAACATGTCACAGAGATGTGCCAGCCCTGCCAGCTGCCCTGGCTATGGGAAACCTCTGATCTCCATCCCCTTTCTCTGTCTGGGAGATAAGAATGAAGGGTAAAGGGTGGAAAAAGAGCTGCAAGCCCAGCCCCAGTGCCACAGGGCTGATGTTCACCCACTCGGTGCCTCCAGGGAATGTGGGGCAGAGGAAGAGCCAGGAGGGTTTGCTGGGGGTCCCTGGGTTTCTAGCACTGGTTCCAGCCTGTCCTGGGGGCACAGCCATTGATCCCCAGGAAATGATGCAGCACAGGGATTTATTGTGGCTGGCTTTGCTGGGAGCTGCTGATCTCATCGCCCCTGGAGCAGCAGGGCAGGGAGACAGATCTGCCAGCAGTCCCCGGGGACGATTTCACATGGAGGAGAATAACCAGGGACCAGAGCAGCAATTTATCATCCCCCACGATGGCTATTGCCAGCCTCTTCCTAATTCAACTACAAAAACAAATCTGCTCAGGGACAGGTTGCTGTGCCCAATCTGTAAAGCACAGCAATCACCAGGAGGGGAGATGGGATTACAGCCTTCCACAATTGCATTACATCCTGAATTTACTCAAATCGTGGAAGGAAAGGATGGCTAACACCCGTGAAAGTGAAAAATCCAGCCCCCCATATCATTTCCTTATACCCTTCAACTCCTTTCCAGGGAGACTGGGCCCTGCAGAAGCCTGGGCTTGAAGCAGATTGGGAAGAGGAGGGAAAAGGGTGAAGTTTTTAATTAGCTGATGTAAATATGCTCTCTGATAAAGCCATCACACTCTGGGCCAAGTGCCAGGCTGCATTCTGGTGTGAAGAGCAGGCTGGTTCAGGCAGGACATCCCATTTGAGATGGAGGTCCTGGGCACCTGAACGAGGTGCTGCTCTGGGCAGTGCTGGGCTTATTCCCCAGGCACCAGGGAATGCTCCAGATATTCAGGGATGATGTGACAGAGCTTCCTCCTCACTGTGCTGCTGGCACTAAACACACAAACTGCAGCAGGGAGGGCTGCAGGCAGGGTGATCTCCCAGCTGGTTCTGTGGCTTCAGTGCTTTGTACACTCCAGCTAAAGGTGCATTTGGGGAGGGTATTACTGGGGGAAAACAATCCCATTTCTGTAGCAAAGGCTGCCAGAGAAGGTTGGACACCTCCCTTGTGTTTTCTCTTCAAAGCACAGCCCTGCTTTGCTTTCCACACCTTTGGCTCTGCTCCTCCTCCTTCAATGGGCTGCACCTTTCCAATATTAACAAACATTTTTTTCTGGGAAACATCCCATTCCCATTGCCCTTCCCAGGTTAAACCCCAGGGTCACTTCTTTGGGGCCTTCCCCTCCCAACAGCTGGAGACCCTCTCCCAAACAGGGAACCCCAACTCACCTCCACCTTCCCAGCACAGTCCGGGTACTTGGGGTCCCTGGGCACCTCACACTGATCTCTCCTGCCTTCCATCACTGCAGAGAGACAATTTGGGCATGGGGAGAGCTGGGGCATGACAGAGGAGCAGCTAGAAATGCTGTGAGGAGATTGGGATGGGATGGGATGGGATGGGATGGGATGGGATGGGATGGGATGGGATGGGATGGGATGGGATGGGGCTGGCAGCCCCCAGGCATGTTCACTGGTGCCACAGCTGGGCTGGCAGACAGCCCCATCCCACTGGATGGAGCAGGACATCAAGATGTGAAGCATCTTCAGCATCCTTCCCAAATCAGGGAGGAAACCACCCTGCTTCAATGCTGGGAACATTCTCTTTCCCTAAATCTCAGCAGGTCCATTTCCAGCACTTCCCTGTGCCCTCTGCCTGGTCCAGACCCCAAGTTCCACCTATCCCCACTCTTGTAAGCAGGCTGCAGGATCTAGGCAAGTACTTTACACTATAAACTTGCAATAAAAACTGTCCTGCTGGAAGAATACTCAGCCCCCAGAGTGAGTTCCAGAATAAGCCATAAAGTGGCTAAAAAGGCATCAGGATCTTTTCTCCCTCCATGGTTGGGTCAATAAAAGCCACCACCCCTCTTCTAAGCCCTCCTTTGCCCACAAGTGAAAAGCATGAGGTGCAAGAGGCAGTGGAAGAATCTTCTGCCTAAACCCCAACAACCACACGGGCCTGTGGGGAAACATCTGCAGAGCCCAGCTGCCCTCCCAGCAGTGCCACAGTGGGATGGCAATGTCTCTGCTGGTGCTGAATCCCAGCCCCTGTGAATTTGGATCCAAACCACCAAATTTTTCCATCCAGGTGCTTGTGCTGGCACTGCTCCCCACCTTTAATTTTGCATATAATTCCCTGGCATTTATTCCTGACAGCCACTCAGATTTGTCACCACTCGTCCCCCTGGCAAGCACGAGTTTCCCAAGGAAGGCAGCCTCAAGACCAGCCTCCATTTCTGGGACTTTTACCCAATTTGTCACGGTTGGATCTTCCCATGGGGCACAGCAAAACCCACAGAGGGGGTTTGGGGCATGGGGACCCCCACTCACCTTTCCCATTGAGGAGGCTGTTCCGGAGAATCTGATCCACCTTTATTGCAATGTCTGACACGTTCTGAGCTATGGCCTGGATCCTCTCCATCAACCCAGCTGCTGGCTGGAACCTGGCAGAGAAACCAAATTAACCCTGAGAACTTGATGTCTCCCAGTGGTGACACTCAGAGTGAAATCCATGCCCTTGGAAGCTGCCAGCAGGTTGAACTTAGCTCCAGGATGAAACATGGAAATGCCTGGTGCAGCATTTAACAAAGAAGTCACTGCCTTCCAGGAGGTTTGATTGAAAACCTATTTAAATCAGTATTTTATACATATTCTGCCGGTTTTTACAGTGTGCTGTCAAACATGGATTCACCTGTGCATATTATGTGGGGAAAATATTAAACAGACTGGCAAAAAAAAGTGTTTTCTTATTTCAGATGTGCTGTGTTTGAAAATCCTCTGCTGTGATTATTGGCCTTGCAGTAGGAAGCTGTGCTGGGGGGGAAAAAAAGGTGAAAAAGAATAAAAATACAGAGAAAAGAAGATAAAACTGAGGAGGGCTGAGGAACTTTGTGGGCTTGGAGCAGAGTGATGAGAAGCACACAGGACATGTGGATGTCCTGAGCCAGCCCATCCACCAAGGGTGGGGATCAGTTTCCCCTCCCAAGGAACAAGACAAAACAGCCTCAAGTTGCAGCTGGAGAGGTTTGGATTGGATATCAGGAAACATCTCTTCACTGAAAGAAGTGAGGCCAGGCATTGGAACAGCCTGCCCAGGGAAGTGATGGAATCATCCAGGGAAGTGTTCCCAAAATCCCCAGATGTGGTTCTTAGGGCCAGGGGTTAGTGATGGGCTTGGCAGTGCTGGGTTAAAGGTTGGGCTCGATGACACCAGAGGTGTTTCCCAACCTCAGTGACTCTGAGACTCAGCTGAGTGCATTTCCAGGACCCCAGCAAGGAGCAGCAGCCAGGGCTGTGCAGGGACAGGGAGCCAGGGCTGAGCTGGGCATTGCAGCCCCAGCAAAGGCCACGGGCACCTCCCAGCAGGGCTTGAGGTCAGGTCCCAGCAGCTTGGACAGCTGCACGTGCTTCCATGGAATCCAGCCTGGAATCAACAGTGTCCTGGGTGAACAGCTCCACTGAACTCACCTAAGGAACACTCTGTGAAAAGGGAAACAGAGCCCTGTAAAGAAGATGGGGGTCAATTAAAACCTGGAATAACCTGGGAAAGGGCAAAGGGAATTCCATCCAGGCTTGACAAGGAGTGAGCCCTCCTGCTCCAACACCTCTCCTGCCACTTCCACCACAAACAGTTATCCCAGTAAATAATTTCCCTTTCTGCAGCATTCGGGTTGTAAGTTTTCCCTCCCGCTGCCGCCGAGGTCGTTCTAATACAAGGGAATGTCACATGCAGTGAGCAAAACCAAGAGGGCTACCTTGAATACTCGTGGCACAAAAAATATGTGCTGATGTCAGGCCCTTCGTGGTGAAGTTTTATGTTTGTTCTCCAGCAGATCACTGAACCCGAAGGCTGGGATTTAAAGTACCTCTGTCCTCAAGGCTAAAAAAATCCTGGTTTTATGAACCGACACTGCTTCGGCTGTTGATTTAAAGTCCATTTGCCAGCAGCGAGCAGCCCACATTTTTCCTTCTGGCATGGTTTACGACCATCAATATTCAGGCTGCATATCTCCACAGGGAGCCACTGATCTTGGGCTTTTAAGAAATAATAATTAAATGCAGAGGACACCATTGCCCCCGAGTCACTTCCAACCTTTGCAGAGAATAAACCCCAGGTATCCTGCTGTAACTGCTGCAGCAGGCAAGCTGCTTGTGAAGCCCTGGGAAAATATGGGCACAAAAACAACCTGAGATAAGCTCTGCTTGTCAGCATGGCTCTGAGGAGATAAAATTGTCCTGCTCTGAAAGCTCGCAAACCCCCATTTCTGTAACCCTTTTTCCACCAGCAAGCAGCCATCAAACCCCACAGGTGATGCAGAGGCACTCAGTAAACACCTGGGATGGGCAATTTAGGAGGAAACATCACATGGATGCAGTGAATTTGGAGGCAGTGAGCCCAAACTCCTGTTTTCCACAGGAAAAGGATGTGGGCTTGGTGAAGATGCTCCCCAGGTTTCTCCATCACTCATGGAAAGGAGGGAGGATGACCACAGCCACAGCAGCAGTGCTCTCACCATTCAGAGCACTTAGAGTAGCTCACAGTGTGGCTTCTGCCTCTTCCCAGAATCTATCCCAATCCTCACTTGCTCCCAAACACCCAAGGAACCAGGTGAGCCTCAAAACCAACAGCAGCCTCAGTCCCCTCCTCCTCACTGATGACCTCCAGACCTCAGCTCAGCCAGGGCTGAGCACTGGGCAGACACAAAAACGTTCCAACAAAAATCAGGATCATTATCCTAAATAAATGACTTTCTCCCATCTGAGTCCTGCCAGGCAGCCACAGTGCTGGGTGATGGAGCTGGCCCAGGCTCTGTGCCAGCTTGCCCAGCTCTTGTGAAGCTACAACTGATCCCCAAACACAAAGATTTCACCTGAAAGCCCTAAGGTGCAAAATGTATCTCTGAGCATCACACTCCAGTCCTCCAAACAAGCCAGGCACCACATGTGAGCATCACAAGGCTTTCCCCAAAACACAGAGGATTACTGGAAAGTGACACTAAAAATGCCCACCATGACTCTTGGCACGTATGAAAGGAGAGGGAAAAAGGTAGAAAAGTCCATTTGAAATACAGAACCGGGCTCAGATGTCCCATGCTCCTCAGCCTTGCATGTCAAGCTGGCTGCCTCCAAACCCTCATGACTCTGAGCAAGGGATTTCGTGCCTGAGGAGAAGAGGCACGCTCCCAGTTGAGAGAGCTGACAGGTCCCAGTGTTTGTGTCTGCTGGGTGACAAGGCCATCACGGGAGCAGCAAATTTCGTGTAAGGCATTAAGGAGGTGACAAGCAGGTTAAGCATAAGTTACATCAACTATCAGCACAGCGATTTGTCACCCAAGCAGGGGACAAGAAAATAAGGTGTTTAAAGGTGTGTCTCACACGTGAAAAGGTTCTGTGTGCCTCACAGGAGTTTGATGCCTTGTTTTTAGTAACTGGAGACAGCAGGAAGGACAAGGTAAGTGGTTTATTCTGCTCAGTGATAACTCAGCAGAGCAGGAATGTCCCACCACGTGCTTGTATCCAAGCCAGGATGGCCAGCCCAGTGGGAAAAAAAAAAAAAATTCTCTTTTCTTCCAGCACCACCACTGCCCAGGGAGCAGCTTTCTGCCTTTTCCCTTCTTGCTTTTTAAATTTTTCCACAGCGACACACTAAATGCCACCAAAACGGGCTGGCACTGTGCCAGCTATTGAAACTACACTAAATTACCACAGCTTTTCTAGAACAATTTTTTCCCTGGGACCTTAAAACCGTTTACTACAGCAAATACAGTACTTTTACTCCTAACCATCAATATAGATTTCGTCTTTATTATTTTCAGATTTATATTTCCCCCTGTTGATTAAGATTCAGATCACACTGTGCCTCATAATGCTCTGTATACAGTATTCATCTCCTTTCAAAAACTGCTATTAAGATGTATCTTTCCCCACTGACAGATCATTTGCCATAGAATATAGCCCGAGGTTGGGTTTCCCGACACTTTTTTATGCATTAATTTGGTTCCCTTCACTTTGCTCTTGTCCCCTGCTCTGTAGCACCAGCTTGGTTTCAGCCTGTTTATCCCTTTACAAGCCACTGTATTTTTATTGCCTTTTATAAAAGTGGCATTATGAAAAGATGAATCTCTTTTTCTTTGTGTGTTGTCTTCATAATACAAGCCCTAAACATATTTGCTTGCTCATCCGATATTTCTTGCTATTAACTTGTGAAAGCCATGGCTTTGGGAAGACCAATACAGGCAGAGAAAAGCAGATGTTCTGAAGATGATACATCAACAAATTCAGCATTTGCACAGAGAAGCTTACCAAAGGATTTCCACTTGCTCACATCCAGTGTCTGTGCTGCCATTTGACTCTTTAAATATTTTTTTAAAGTTTTTGCCCAAAGACCCAAAGCAGAGCAGAAAACAGCAGGGCTGGTGCTGAGCTCTCGCTGTTTCACTGCTCTGGGGACACAAATCACATCCAGCCCCACACCAGCCTCCAGGACAGGGAGCTGGAATCCCACAGGCAGTGCTGATGGCCAAGGGAAAAGGATCTTTCCTGGTCTCCAGGTTCCTGCTGCAGCTTGTGAGGTGTTGCCTGTTAAAGCAGCTGGGATATCTGCAGGAGAAATGAACCCCAAGGGCATCTCCAGCAGGTCACCCTGAGGGCTCAGGCTGCTCTTCCCATCCATCCATCTGTCCCTTCATCCCCAACCCCTCCAATGGAAAACACTCAGAGTCACCCAGCTCTGTGAAGTCACCAACTTGGTGCCTGGAAAGCTGAGGGGTCCCAGGGATGTGGGGAAAAGCCCTCATGTAAGTGCTGGATAACTAAAAAAAGTCATTTAAACGTCCAAGAAGATGGAGAAATTAAAAGCTTTGCTCCACTAACCTAAGAGAATACAAGTAAAACTTTTCCATGCTGGAGGAAAAACATTTTTGGAAGATCCATACCCATTGTGTGGATCTCCACATCTTCTCTGAGATGACTTGTATCCAAAAATCCAGAGGCCAGGGCTGTCCATGTGGGAGAGGGCAGGACACAGACACAGGGGGGTTATTGGGTGGCTGAAGCTCTGTCTAAAATTTGTGTCACAGTCCCCTGACACCGACGAGCCCAGCACAGGAGGTGAAGCAGCAGAGGCAGCAGTGGCTGGGGCAGGTGCCCTGCTCAGGAGGTTCAGCTGTGCAGTTTATATTTATTAGCCTTGTAATCCTGGATTTAATCCTCATCACTCCAGGGCTGTTCCCCTGAGCTCGGATGAGCAGCCTTGGACTGAGCTGCTGGTCCCTGTGGTGGGAGGGCAGCACACCCCGGGTGTGATGGGGCAGGGAGGGTTCCACGTCCTGCCCCACTTGGGAAAGGCTCAGACCCCCAGGGAGCAGAGCAAAAGCCCAAAGCTCTGCTTATGATCAGCACAGGAGAAATTCAGAGTCATACTGGAGGAAAAAAGTGCAGGGGC